AGAGTGCCAATGTGCCAGGATACCCCCAGCCACCACCCCTCAAACCCCACACCCAGCCTGCTCTGCGTTCATCTGTAAGGAACAGAGAGCCCTGAGCCGCTGCTCAGGGGAGAGCAGCCCGGTAATTATCTCCTCTGCAGACAAAACAGCAAACAGAGCAGCTTTACCCTGACAAACACACAGCTTTGGGTTTTCCCTTCAGCAGAATTAACGGCAGCACCAAGCTGTGCACCCCAAGGCTGAACCCCCACCGACACCATCCCCTGCTCACACTGAACAGGCAAAACCCTGCTCRAATGCAGAATTTTTATTTTGTAAAGATACGAGAATCTACTTAGAGAAAGAAAAACTCTTGTGCAGATATGAGTCTAAAGATATTCCATCTGAAGTAAACATCATTCCTCTTTTATCCAAATTTATAAACAACAAATGTACAATATTTTTACTCAGCTTGGCAGCTGGAGGAGAGGTTGTCAGCAAGCATTCTTTTTTTCAAATAAATTAATCCTTACTCTGGTGGTTTGAGATTATGCACTGTATTATACAACAGCGCCTTATCAGGCCTCATCAGTGAAGATGGAATTCATGTCTGTAAAATGCTGCAGGCAATCACAGTTTCATATTTTATCATGTTGATAAGGATATCGCAAATTCTCTGAAGCATTTCAAAACACTTAAATGAAAAAGGAGAAATGCAACTAAAAGGCTTTTTATATGGTTTGTTGTGGGTTATTATGAGTTATTTATAAACCCAAAAAGAAAGATTTGACATTTCAAATGTAAAAGATTTGAGTATTTAATGGTACTTTTTTCCCCTTACAATTGAACATCTTCAATCACATTTTAAATCATTAATATTTACTCTCATGGCAAGTGGCAGCTCAAAACGGGGGGAAAACCTCCCCTTCCCTGTGGTTGCAGCAGCTCACCCTGGGTGTCCCCATTCCCTTTCTCGTGGGTTCTTGGGGCTGCTCAGCCCCTGCACCCCAACCCACACCAGTTGGGAACCACCAGGACAAACCCTGTGATGGGGGATGGTCACTGCACTGGGAATTCTCTACAGGAATTTTAGAATCCATGAGTATGAAGGAAAACAAAGAAAAATCACCTCTCAAGCAAATACGAAACATTAAAAAAAAAAACAAACAAAGCACTAATTGTTGCAGCTGTAAGTGGGAGAAACAAGCTGGGTRTGAGGGATGAGCAGGCTGTGGGGTGTTCCATGCCAGCTCCATGCCTCAGGAAGAACACATCCCACACTGATTTATCCCRTKCTCAGCACAGCCCTGAGCCCAGCCYGGGCACTGTCACATCCCATCCCTTACGGCCATCGGGAGCACATTTAGCACCTCTCACCATCAGCCCATCATCCCTCAATTTACTGGCATCTGTTAGCCACACTGACTGCTTGCTCCTGTTTGGAGTAAGGAGGCCAAAGGTACGGCTCAAACCCAGGAAAAATGGGCACCCTGAAATGGCCAAAGGTGAATCAAAGTCTGTCAGAGCCCGTGCTGGTGTCTGGCACAGGCAGCAAGGACCCAGCAGAGCTCCCTGCCTGCCCATCGGGCCATGGGAGCCTCTCCAAGGCCTTTACCTTTTAACTCATAAGGCTGAAACAAATAAAAATTCAAACCATTTATAGGCACAGATCTGCAATTTCTCTCTTCTAACACTAACAAGCCTTACAGCTGCACCAAGGGCTGCTCTGTGGCTCATCCCCAAAGATGTGATATTAAACAACACGTTTGCACGAGCAATTAATACAGGTATTAATGACTGCATTTACCTGCCACTGTGCTTATGGCTCTCCAAACCACTGTTCCCCCAGGTACTCACATTTAAATTATGTGGACTGTACAGTGAATTTCCTCCCAAGCCATCATTGTATCCTCCCGTCTGATTGATAACATGACGCAGGGTATCCACCTTAAAGAGAGGGGAGACAGGATTCATCATTCCAAATCTATTAAAACATCATCACTTACAATAGGCAACATTTTGAATTATGTGAGCCAAAAGGGTTTAGCATCTTCTATGAAAGGCAAATTTATCAATCAAGACTGACTGGCAGAATTTCAACCAATCCGTGCCTGTTACAGCCCATACATCTCTGCTTCTCACACCACCAAACACAACTTCCTCCCGCTGCTCCTTCCCAAGTGTCTGCAGCAAAGTGCTGGCAATATTCTGTGTGTGCTGGCATGTTTGGAGGAGATGATGGTGTGTTACAGCACATAAACCATGGGGTCAGCCCTGCAGAGAGGACTGGAACAATGACTGACAATGAGGTGGATTGCAATAGCTCAGTCGGATGCGTTCTGACATTTAAGTAAATAAATAGATGAATGAATGAATTAATAAATAAAAGTTTGTCCAATAAATGAAAGAAAGATGGGAGGGGTTTTTTTTTTAAAGGGCAGGGAAGGAGGGAAGAAAGGAAAAAAAAGAAAGAAAATTTCACTGCATTTACAGTGTCCATGGAAGTCAGATGCACCCAATCCCATTCCATGAGCTCAAGCCAGAGCCGAATGCATTCACAAAGCTTAAAATTTCAATCAGAAAAAAATCACTCTTTCGTTTATATTTGTGAAATTCAATGCCGGGGTAAGAATAGGCCACATCCAGAAATATGCAGCCTCCACTCTGCAGCGAGGCCCAGACCAGTTAATAGAGCCAGAGTAAGGTGGAATTTTTAGCCCAAACCCTACCCTGCCAGAAAGGCCCTGCTGGGGGCATTTCTCCTACCTGTGACTGCACATTGGCTCCGACTTGGGACCCCTGGTAAGAATCCCCATTCAGACTCTGCATGTTCATGAACATGTCCCCAGAATTTGGGAGGTTAAAAGAACCAGAAGAACCTGGAAAGGAAAGAGTTAGGTAGCTGAATAACAGAGAGCTGCAAAAACATCACCTCGAGACCTGAGGGCAGGGGAAGGAGAAGCAGCAGGAGAGGAGAGGACAGGCAGAGCTCAGTGGAGGGGAAGAGGCTGCCCTGGCATGGGGTGAGTGTGCCCATGGGCACCCCATACCAGGCACCACATTGGGCAGGGGCTGCCCAGATCTCACCCTGAACCAGAGCACTGTGCTGGGCTCATTTGGAAATCCCTGCAGCCCAGGGCAGCTCTTCCCTCTGGAAGCCTGGACAACAACACTTTTCCATATCAGAGCTTTCTCCCTGAGGATCACTCCATCATGAGGTGTCACCACCAAATACTCATTTTGAGCCTGTGCTTCATGTTTCCTTCCAAAGGAAATGGCTGGCAGTTCCCAACTATGTGTTTTATTACTGTCAGGGTAGGAACCTTTTTCTTGCTTCCTTTTGATAAAGTCTTCTTTTCCCCGTGGTTCTCTATATGCTTTAAAAATTGTCCACACTAAGTCAGAGCAAAACTTGACTACAAATAGTGTCTGTTCTTGTGGCAACCTTTGCCCCTGGAGCCCAAAAGAGCAGCACCCCCCTCACTCACTCCCTGACTAATGCAATGTTCAGACTTGCAAAATGTCATCAACACACCAGCGAGACCTACAGCAGAATTCCAAATTTAAGTTCCATCCTTACATTTCTAATTGTAATATCAAGCATCCAGAGTTTAAACTCTAATTAGCACGTTAAAATATTCCTCTATTTCRTTGTTATCTTGACAATAAATTGAACAGTTCTACAAAACCAGACTTGGACCTCTGCCCCATTTTACATTCTTTTCAATGAATGAGAAAAAGCTTAAAGCAACTACAGAAACAAAGAAGGTTCCAGAAGGCTGAACCAGGCAGCTGCAGGAATTACATGGGCCCCACTCCACTCTCCTGTAGGGCTGTGGGAGCTTTKCTGGGACCACCCCCAGTGGTGCAAACTGCAGATCCTCGGGCTCCCCGTGCCGTGACTGGGGCTGCCCTGCCAAGRAGCTGCATCCTCCTCATCCCAACCGAGCTCACTGGGGCACAGAGAGCCCTTCAGGAGGCTCAGACACAGCGGGGTACGTACCAGAGTTTGGTGTGGTGGGGGAGTTGGTCTGGTTGTTCTGGACGGCCGCGGCCACGGCGTGCGCTGCGGTCACCGCCGTCTTTGCCGCGTACAGATTGGCTTCCTCCTGGAACTTGCCGATGTTCTTCTTGTACCTGATTCTCTTATTGCCAAACCAGTTGGACACCTGCAGTGGGGAGAGATGGGGAGGGTGAGGGACACAAAGGGCTTGGTGTGACAAAGCAGGATCTCTTTGAAATGTCCTGTTTGTCATATCTGCTCCAGGTAACTGAGCACTAACCCGGAGCAGTTAAACATCACCATGGAGCTGAGCAAGACCTGGCTGTGCTGTTCTGCTGGCAAACTGAGGCACAACGAGTGAATGATGACCACACGAACCCTGGAGCTTGCTGTACCACTGAGCACAGCATTGTCCCCCACCACCACTGGCCATTTGTCAAAAAAACTGGTGCGAGACCCCGAAAGCTGCTCAGGGGGCACCAGGGTCCGCTTGACTGAGGGCGAGCRGGCAGTGAGAGCAATTGTTCTTTATTTTTGGGCTGGAACGACCTTGGCAGCCCACTCACAGAATGGTGTTTGGTTGGCTGAAAATGAAAGGAATCATATAAATCAATAATGGCTGAAAAGTCACTTTGTCATCTCCCTTTGAAGATGCTGTACCGAAGCCAAGCTGGCTCCCAGGGCACTGGCTATTAACCCACACAGGGGTCACGGCTGGAGCCGCTCAGGAAAGTTCCTACAATCCTGCTTAGAGGCTTTGTTTAACTTCAGCTGCTGGAAAGGAGTTTCTAAATAACAAACCCAGTTTGGAACATGGACAATGGCCAACAYGGCTGAGATAAAATAACAACTGCAACAAGCCAGAGATAAAGGGCAGGGGACCAGTAATAGCCCAGTGCTTATCAGGCAGGCACAGCACGTGGCAGGGACTGGGGTCCAGTCACAGCACCCAGCTCAGGACCCTGCTGAGGCACGAATCAAACTCTGTATTTGATGCAGCACAGCTTTTGTTTAACCACAATTAAAGGAAAATCTCTGGCCTTTACCAGTAATRTGGAAGGTACCTTATACATCCTGCTCCCCTGATAATACTCCACTATATTCTATATATTGCACTTAATATCACCTTGTCAGTCAGAGAAGCAATAATACATTAATGAAACCCAGCAAATAATTATTGTGTACAATCAGATTATGCTTTATTAACAGTATCATAATTGAGGAATCTCTGCACATCAACTGTATTGTCCACGGATGTGCATGAGACCCCTCTGTTTATGCACGCTCCTGGACCAATCAAACAACAGCCATCACTAATAAAGGTTTATTTAATTCTCACAGTAAAATTTTAATATCACCAGCAGCCTGGGGAAGCCTCAATGAGTGGATTTGCTTGACATCAGATCGTTTCCATTCTGCTAGTCCCAATACTTCTTAATCTTTAATATCAAGGCAATTAAAATTAATGGCCACTCATCCAGAGCCACTGTGGGCAGTGTTTCCTTGACATCAATTGTTTGATGGGATTACCTAGAGGTTAAACTAACAAGCAAGGTTTAATTGGAAGCAATGAGAGGAGCAGGGCTCGTACGTTATGTTTAACCCGCACACCACATCTAAATGAATATCCAGAAATGTTCAACTCTTCCTGAGACTGAAACACACACAAACCCTGCACGGAATTGGGGCTGCAGAGGAGCCACAGCACCCCAGGGTGCTGCAGTCCCTGTCTCTGTGCCCAAGAGAAGATGGGGATGCAGGCACAGGGACCCAGCCCTGTGCTCACCCCAAACATGGAAGTTTTCTCCATCATGAGCTGCCTCACAACAYATTTTTCATTAAAACAAACTATCTATTCACATAAAAAAAAAACAATGAGCATCTTTCTCCTCCTGATCATTGAAGGCCAATTAATTAATTGGGCTTAATTGTATATTACATTCCAAACAATACTGTTGCACTTATTTATCATGTTAATTGCAATGTTAAATAAAAAGACAATAAWTTATTACTGAAATCATCAAGATGCCTAATGTGGGATTTGGGCTGGGGCAGGCCTGCCTGGTATCTCCAGAGTGGCTGATTTCCTGGGATAAATCAGTGCTCATTGGGCAAAGAGGCAGCTGACATGAGCATTGCTGCTGGAATTAGGCAACTACAGATTGAGGGATCATGGAAATCTTTCCATTGTGGTTCCATGTTTGTAGCACAGAGTCTGTTCCACAATCTATGACCTAAACCCAAGAATTTTACCTCCAGATCTATTTCATTATGCTGTATTCATGATTTCATTATTTTTTCCTTGCTTCCCACATGAAATCCAGGGGTAAGAGCCCCTCCATCCACAGTTTTCCCTGCACAAAAACACTCAGAAAATGCARGGGCCAGAGGGGTGCTGGATGCAGCCTCCGTTCTGTAAAGCAATGTTAAATTGTCAACCCCATCCTTCTTTTGTTTGGAGCAGTGAAAGATGCTATTGCTGTACCCCACTGTCCCACTCTCAGCACTGGCTGTGCCCTCTCTCCAGCCCTTGTGATGGGCATTTGTGACACCCTGAAAGAGGCTCATCTGCAAAAGTATAAAACATCAGCCTCGCAGCCACGTAGGAGAGAACAGATGATACACTTTATCTCCCTCCAACATGTGTTGATGGGGTAGCTCTAAATTACAGCCAACAATTTTCTCTGCTAAGGACATTTTTTTCCCCAGAATTACCTTTCCCACACTCTTAAAAATGAAATTGTGTGAGGTGTTCATCTTAATAAATAGTTTGTCTTTATGCTTTTCTTGAAAAACCTTCTCATTCTACATATTATTTTAAACACCAATATCAAAAGTGAAACCATCGATCTCCCAGCTGCAATGAAACCATTCTGGGAGACAATTTTCTCTGCAGCTCAGTAAAGTGCCATGGCAGCAGGATTTCCAGTCAGTGGCTTAATCTGGGGGGAGGATGACCCAAAACACTCACTAATTAAGTGTTTGAGAGAGAAGATGTTCTGCCACGAACGTGCCCCCAGCATGTACAAGGCACTGACAGTACAAGAGAGAAACACTTGGGATCATCGTTAGGAGAGGCTCCAGAGGAGCCTGGTTCAGCCAGGGGAAGGACAAAACCTCTTCATCAAAGATGAGCCAACAGCTCCAGAGTTTCCAAAGCCATCTCTGAGTGTTATTGATTCCTTTTTCCAGCTCTTTGCCCCTCCRGGGTGTTTGCAGCACAGGAGGTAAATGGGGCATGGTGACAAGCACAGCAATGTCCAAGGGACACTTGGTCAAGGCTGAAAATATGCACACTTAGAGATCTTTTCTGAAAGCCCTGAGCTTCCTCAGATGCCATTGTTTGTTCCCTGTGATGCTGCTCCTGCCAGGGTTCCAATGGCTGCTCAATTCACCCTGAGCTGTGCATTGCATGCTCTGAGTTCTGCAGTGTGTGGGGTGCTCTGCTCTGCTCAGAGCTCTTCTGCTGCACAGCCTCAAAAACATACACCCTGCTCTATAGCCAGGAGAGGCCATGCCATCCACACCAGCTTAAAGAAACTAAAAATTCTTCAGGTTTGGTTAATGAATTGGGAGAGATAAAATGAGAAAGAGCCCACCAAACCTACTGAAAAGCTGTTCCCTCTGCACCCACCAGTGAATCGTGCCTGGCAGGGAAGTGSTTAGTGATCCTGCCAAGTGGACAGTTAAAAAGCTCCATCTAGATAAGGCTGAAGTGACTGAAGGAAATGAGATAGACCATTTGAGAAGCCATAACTGATTGCTTCTAGTGCTAATAGATCTGATTTCTTTCTTAATTGGTTGTTTGATAAGATTTAATGTATATGCTCTAGAATGAAATAAAAGGCAAGCAGATGGTCCAACAACCCAGCAATGGCACAGAGCCTGTGACAGGAATATAGGTTTGTCTTTAATATTTGATAGAGACATGAATTAGTTGTTTCTTGAATGCATTAGGAAGTCTGAGTGAGTGATGGGAGTAGCTGCATTGTAGAAGTGTCCACAGCAGCCTCAGCCTTGCTGGGTGACATTACCAGCCTGGTGCAAGGACAGTGCTACCCACTCACCCTGGTACCAGGGCTGGGCCCTCGGCCATGGCTGGAGCTTCACTCTGGCAAGATCTATAAATGACTTAGAAAAGCTCGGGATGAGATGGGAAAGCCTGGAAATAGGGCCACGTATCATCTAMTGGGAGAGAGCACGTATGAGAGAGAGGGATGCCTGTGATCAGCTGCTTGCTTGAGTGGCTGATGGATCTGCTCTTACAGTTAAGAGCATGAACAGCATGGATATCCTAATTTTTGATTTCCAAAGGCACCTCGAAAAGCTGTGTGGCACAACTGCAGGGTCAGTTGGTATTTCTAGGCCAAACTTCCTGCCCAYCAGCACAGCTATTTGTCAGTGGAATGGGAGAAACTGCCTCCATCTCCATCCTGCACCTTCCCCAGGCACTGAGCACAGGGGTTCCCACCCTGCTCAGAGTGTGGTATGTGCAGCTGAGGAGACAGCAAAGCACACAAACATGTCCTGGGGCAGCTCTGGGGGCATCCAAAATCAAATAACTCCAAATTCGGAGCTGGGCAGCCTTTCATTTGAAAGTCTTCAATAAAGTGCCTGAATTTTTCATGCTTTCAATGGAGACCTATAAAGTAAATCTCAACTCTGGTCGTAATTATAAAGCTAAAGGTTGCATTGTTAATAATGCCAATAGTGCAGCCTGCAATCATTAATAGTTAACACACGTGCTGCAGGCACTGTTCCTCTCAGGACCTGAAATATTGATAAGGGAGCTGAGGGAGGAATGGGCTGGCTGGAGAACTTGGAAACTTCCAGGACACTTCACTGCCCCCCAAGTTCAACTTCTTCTCCTTGTACAGCCAGATTTTTGTTGGAATAATTGGGTTTCTATCAAACATGCAGGCCACACAGAACACAAAGTGGTGTTTTGCTTTTTAAACCGCCTGGTGAAGGAAAACTTGATGGTTTCATCAGGCTGAGCACTGCTGAGAGACCCCAGTCTGAGCTGGACAGGTACTTTGGCCCACAGAAAGCAGCCACAGCCAAAAATGGCACAATCCTGACTGGGGAGATGCTGCATTTCTTGCATTAACTTCACAGGAACAGCTGTTACATGTGGTAAAAGGAGCAATGTGCCTAATGCAGTTTTGCCACAGAGAAGCCACTCGAGTCACTTCAGTGTAACTAGAGGCTGAATTTCTGGTTGGCTTAGARAAACAATTTTGAGCAATCAAAGAAATTTGGATCTATAATGATAGATCCTAAATTTGTCAATAAACTGTCCTTTCCCCAAAATCCTGGTCAGCTGTAAYGAGTTCAGAGCAGAGCAAGACTCAACCTCACTGGTTGAGTTTTTTTTTGTCTTCTCCTCTGTGCACAGCACCTTTGTACTCCAGCACAGCCTCAGCCATCAGGGACATGCTGCCTTTCCTGCAGAGCTCAGCCATGTCCCATTGCCCTCAAACCTCCTCATGGCCAACACACCAATATGAAGGGCTCAGAGGTGCTTTGGGCAGGCTCTGCTTTGTTCCACTTCCCTCCACTGGAACCACCTCAGAGCCTGGGGGAGACAGCAGCATCACAAACCTGACAGACTATGGGGTGCAGGGAAACCTCCCTGATGCTTACCTGTGATACTGTGATGCTGCATTTCTTTGCCAGCTCTTCTTTGGCTTCTTCACTGGGGTAGGGATTACTGAGGTGGGAGTAAAAATACTCGTTCAAGATTTCCGTGGCTTGTTTACTGAAGTTACGCCTTTTCCGTCTGAAATGAGAAATGGAAAACCACCACTGTTCCTCCAGATGCCAGCAGGGTTGGATGGGGGCAGCAGCCCACATTTCACAGCCTGTGCTGCAGCACAGAGCAACACAGGGAGCTATCCTGGCACCCTGATCCCTTTGGGCACCCCAACACCACGATCTGCACCCAGCCCTGCAGGGYTCTGGACTCTGCCTCCAGCTTAACACCCCAAACTCGCCACGGGGCTCATGCCATGGGGGCACAGGCCACGGTGCAGCCTCTCTGCATCTCCTCCACACCCACTGGGTACACAGCCCACCCAAAACTCCAGGCCACAGAGCCCCTCAATGCCAGCAGCAGCCTGGCAGAGCTCCTTGCCCTGGTTCCCTCCTGCACAGGTCAGCTGGGTCCCCACTCAGCTCCCCAGGGTGAGCACAGGACAGGGCAGGGCAAGGGTGCTGATGTGTCCTCACATGGCCCTCCCTGAGCTAATTGGCTTCCAACAGCAAGKGGATTTCAGCCTTTGCAGGTAAAACCCATCTGTGTTCCCTCCTGCCATGGGCTGCAGGGCTCTGGCCTGGGACAGACACCAAGTGTGTCACCTTGCCAGAGCACCCGCACACGCTGTGGCCACCAGAAGCCACCAGAAGCCATCAGCCCTCGCCATGGTGGCAGYGCCTGCACAGCTGCAGTGCCATCCCTGTGTGCCAACGGCTGCTCTCCTTCTGCAGAACATTGGAAAGCTCCTGTTGAACATTTCCTCGGAGCTGCTTCCCCCAGGGCTGTTGCAATCAGCACTGGTGCCCCAGGCCCTCCGCAGCCAAGCGCAATCCCCAGTGTGCCCTTGCAGAGTATCAGAGTATAACTGTGCTGATCCTGGAGCAGCAGCCTCCCTCCCTAGAGCTATGTTTATCTCATTACTATGCTTCCGCTCATTTTGCCTTATTTACCTTCCTCCTTTTTAAAGAAATCACTTTAAAATGTACATCTGCAGGCTCTACCTTTGCGTTCCTGGAGCTCTCCATAGACATCTCCTCCAACTGCCTGCAATTACCCTGATTTCCCACACCTGCCAGTGACCTCCTTGTTAATAACATTATTTTGGTCTTGTTTAGCTSCTCACAGCTTTCAGGTGTGAAGCGTGAGCTGCTGGAGGAGGGAGCTCTGCATGGTGCCTGCTGCTCCTCCCCGTTGTGCCTGGCTCCACTCCTGCTCTGCCTCGGGCCCTGCCAGCTGCCAGAGCCCTGCTCTGCACAGAGCCCTGTGAAGGGGATGGGTATCACCATCCCACCTCATCAGGCTTCAAAACAAATCCACTTTGGCTCAAAACCCCCTCCCAATCACAGTCTGCCTCCCAGCAGCCCRCTCAGGTGGGCCCTGGGACAGGCTCTGAGCTCCAACAGTGAACCAGGAGCTGGGGCAAACAAGCCCAGTCTTTGCACTAAAATATGCAGAAAAGACCTTGCTGTTTGTGAAAGCCCATTGCATAGGGGGTCCCATCCACAGATGTGGATGAAGGCTTTTGTTGACAGACTCACCCCTGCTGCCATGGGACACCAGTCACATCAAGCCATGCTCTCCTGGGCGCCCAGAAATTACTGCTTTCCCCCAAAAGAGACAGCAGCACTTGCCTCTGCCTTACCTGGCATCAAGGAACCTYGATCTTAAAATCATTACTGCTTCACAAGTGCTTTGTTTGAGCTGCATCTGGATGGAGCTGAACTTTCGATGAATGATGCCCACCATCCTTTCAATCTCCTTGGGAGAAATGGGACGTGTCCGGCTCTGTTCTCTGAGGAGGTTCATTACATGTGTGGTAAATTCATTACATGCCTGTGGAGGAAGAAGAGGCTCAGACAGGGGTTTGTGCCATCCCACGRGGACACGAGCTCTGTCTGAGCTGCTGTTGGGAGAAGGCAGCGCTGGGGAACCTTTGCATGGCCCCACATTTGCATGGCCCCATCCCCTCTGCACATGTGGCCACAGGATCCACACACCCTGTCCAGGAGAGCTGAGTGACCATGGCACTGCCTCTGCCATGGAGCCCTTTCCCCATGCCCATGGCCACAGGATCCACACACCCTGTCCAGCCAGGAGAGCTGAGTGACCATGGCACTGCTCCTGCCATGGAGCCCTTTCCCTGTGCCCATGGCCACAGGATCCCCCACACCCTGTCCAGGAGAGCTGGGGCAGCCAGGAGAGCTGAGTGACCATGGCACTGCTCCTGCCATGGAGCCCTTTCCCCGTGCCCATGTCCCCATCAGATCCCAGTGCAGAGGAGCAGTTGAGGCAGTGCAGGCAGGAGCAGGGTATGAATAGGAACCCACACAGAACCCACACACCTCACAGGAGATGGGCAATGCTGGCCAGGGCAGCCCTGAGCTCTGAGCCCTGCACACCGAGGAACTGAGACCTTTCTGAGCACCTTTTGTGGGTTCCAGTGCCACTGTGCCCCAGCCTGGCCTGTGCTGTGTGCCCGCAGCATTCCCAGACTTGACTGTGGTCGCAGCCCTTCATTCCCAAACTGTGACATGCTGATATAAACCTCAGGTGACACCACCAGCAGGAATCAATCCCCTGGTCTGAGCTCTGCACATCCAAGCAGCCATCACATTGCTGTCCTGCCTTTCCTTTGCAGGCTGGAACCTGCCAAAAAYTCTGCTAGCTCCCCTCTTCCCTCTAAAGCTGGGCTTCAAAATATCTACATAATAGGTCTGACGTATTTTCAAGGATTCACCAACATTTCAATAGATTATGTGAGGGAAAGAGTTAAAAGTGAAAAGTTTATGCATCTAAAAACTCATAATTTCCTATAACATTTGCTGAACGTCTCACAACTTATTAAGTGAAGCCATCTATGAATGCAAATGCTGATTAGCAATTTGGCAATAGCCCAACATTCGCAGAATTCACATAGCTTTTCTTTAAACCAGTAGTTCATACATGATTAATTAGAACATCTCATTTATGTAGTGTGCACTTTAGCTCATTACTCTAAGTAAAATTCGTTAAGTATTTACATTTAGATAATTAAAATCTGGGTACACCCTTAAGAAAGATGCATACACTTCAGGCAAAGTGATTTTTTTTTTCTTTACACTACTGAAAGTAAATTACAGGCTAATTTACATCCTTGCAGCACCCATTGGAGGCAGTGCTTGGCGAGGCTGGGCGACCCTGGGCAGAGCCATTCTCCTGCCATGCTGAGGGCACAGAGCATGGGGCACATCCTCACTTTCCATCAGTATATTCTCCTTTTTTCATCAGGGCACAGCCCAAGCAAGCAAAAGTTGATGTCCAGCCCTCCAATGATGGCAGGAGCACCAGCTTTGGCTCACCCTGCACAGAAGGGAAGGGGACACAGGTACCAAAATGCAGCAGCTGAGATCACACAGCAGCTCTGACTGTTCCAAAATGCAGCTGAACCCAAGAATTCAGCACGGGATGGACATTCCAGGTACGCAGCTTGCTACAAGCTCCCTTGCTTTCAGATCCCAGGAATCAATTTTAAAGTACAATAAAAYTGGCAACTGTTGCATTRGAAATATTTTCAGGTRCGTCTCTTCTATAAGAGAYACAATATCAAAAAGYGGACATTSAAAAGAAAAAAATCAGTTTCTTGCTTTCAAGAAGCAAAAACCTTTCCCTGACTTTACTTCAGTTGCCTGATGAGACTGTTTTGGCTACAATTGCTTGGAGAGGCTGAGTTGAATTCATCTCCCCAGCAGCTCCCCTGCACAGAGCTGCCTCACACAGCACAGTGGGGGAAGCTCAGAACACTCTGATGCTTTGTCTTGTTTCTCTTGTTTATTTATAGCGTCCGAGCTACTTGATCCCTTTTCCAGGACTATTTTTCAGGCCTCTGCTTGGTGCCTGAGACATTATTAATAATGTCAGGTTATAAGTGATGGCCTTGTTAACCTGCTCAGAAACCTTGTAGGGGCAGGGATGCTCCTGCTGCCTCAGTGCTTCAYCACGTCTGTGCAGGAAAAAGAGAGGAAATGGCCCAAAACAATGTTCAGGGGCAGGGTGGCACCAGTGCCCTGTGAGGCTGGTGGTGGCTTCTGAGCTGCCACACTTCACCCAACCGGGGGTGAATTCAGGAGACATCTGTGAACTTGGGAAGTGGGTTCCCAGCTGCTCCGGGAGGCCTGGGACCCTTACAGTACTTTTGCCTACAGCAAAAAATGTATTTCAGTGTAATTACAGCAGATAGCTTTCAATATGTCATCTCTGTTATAGGAGCTGTAAATTATGGAGGCGCTGCCTGTGCGTGGCCATTTCTCCCGGCGCCCGGCAAGGGAGCGCTGGCTGATGGCGTGACACACTTTCCATTTCTCTTTCTCTTTTTTTTTCTTTTCCCTGAGTGCATTCCCCTGACTGGCAACAAATATCAGGATCAAACTCTGCATGGAAAGTGTCTCCAGGAGGGCACTCTGGTCCTGCTGCCATGGGATGGCAGGGATGGTAGGGATGAGAGGGGTGGCAGGATGGATGGATGGCAGGGTGGCAGGGATGGCAGGGGTGGCAGGGATGGCAGGGATGTGGGGGGATGGCAGGGGTAGCAGGGTGGCAGGGATGGCAGGGGTGGCAGGGATGGCAGGGATGGCAGGGATGGCAGGGATGGCAGGAGCGGCTCTGTGGCACACACAGGTGCCCAGCGTTTCTCCCCGCTGCAGGAGCGCTGCTGCCTCCCAGAACCTGCAGTGCCAGAGGCTCAGATGCCAAGGCCTGGCTGCCTCTCGGGCACTGTGGTGAGACAAACTGGCAGGAGACAGTTTGCTGCCAGGCTGGGAAATGATCACCCGTCTGTTGAGCAGACGTGGCTGGGTGTCAGGATCCACGGGGAAGCCTGCATGTCGCATCCTCTGCTCTACCTCTCCCTCCTGCTCCAGCAGCACTTGAGCATCCTCCAAAATTTCCTGTGGTGTGGACGGATGGCTGTGACATTTCAGCTGAAACCTTTGTAAATGGAGCTACAGGGCAAAAAATGCTCCTGCTTCCCCCACGTCATTAAACTTATTAGAGTGCAAGGATGTTTGCCAGGAACTGAATACAAGCACTGAGCTGCCGCCACTGTGGCCCAGATCTGCCTGCAGCCTGTGTCCCTGTGCCTGTGASACACACTGCTGCTGGGTGGGGCTGGTTAATGTGACAGCCACCACCATCCCAGTGCCACAACTGCAGCTGGCACGGCCAGGAGAGCCCAGGGCACCACACGGGGGTATTGGAGCCTTGGGGAGTCAGGGGAGAACAGATTTGCACAAGGACCCTGACAGGTGTTTGCTCAGTTATTTGTTCACCACTTGAACAGCRCAGTGATAGAGACAGCACAGATGAGGAGGCAGTGCCACTGGCACCCAACACACACYGTGCTGCTGGCACCTGCCAGCATGTGGCAAATATTCTCAGTGCCAGTGGCAAACGTGTCCTCAGGTCCCAGCAGTGAACWCAAACCCACAGGTCTCTGCAGCACAGTCTCCACTGCAAAGACAGCACATGCTGTCACCTCCTGCAGCAGGATTTCCCCAGCTCCTGTCCAAAGCCTGGGCCCATGCCCCACTGCCCACTCCCTTCCAAACTGCACCATCCAACCTGCCATGGCTGAGTCCTGTGCCAGGCTCCTGCCACCTGCTCCAGGAGCCTGTGGGCTGACATGGCCAATGTCTGCCCGTGATGCCAGGCTKGCCAGAGCCAGCTGTGTGGTCACAGGGCAGAGAGAGAGGGACACTGAGTGACTGATGCCTCTCCTCCTCTCTGCCCCTATGGGCTGGGCAAAGGGGAGAAACATGGGCTGGGGTGCTGCTCTTGTGCCATTACAGCCAACAGAACACACTCAGGCATGCAAGACACGGGTCCTGGCTCCAGCCAGAGGCTCCTCAGAGCCCGACAGACTCCCATCATGGGCAAAGGGGTGGGGAAAGGGAAGAGGGATGTGGGCAGAGCAGGCAGTGGCAGGCACTGGCAAGCAGAGGAGAGCAGTATCAGGTACACAAACAAGTGAGAAGCTGATGTCTGACCTGTTCATATTTCTCCAGCTCTGTGTGATAGATTTGTCTGATCTGGGTCAATTTGGCTCTGTAATCTGAGTGTTCAATAGAGTTATCTGAAGACCCTCCAGAGGCTGCTGCGGCTGCGGCTGCTGCCGCCGATCCCCCACCTTTCTCCGGACCCGAGACTCCTTCTGCCAGAAGCATATTGTCTAGTCTCATTAGCTGAGGGTCGGGAGGGTCCTCCTCCTGGGCTCCTCGGATGCTCAAACCTTGGGCACAAAAGAGAGAACAAGAGAAAACACAAGTCAGTATTTCTGCATCTGCCCRGGCACTGCCCGCTCACTGTGTGCCCGCCACAAACCCTCTGTGACACCCACCAGCCTGGGCACCACGGGCACAGCTGTACCCTGCCCTGCCTGCAGCACCCCACGGGACATTTAAAATCTGAGTTTTGGTTTAAATTGTGGATTTCTAACATGCTGCTCAGTCAGCAGCTTCTCTGCACCCTATAGATCAGAGCTGACAAATTGTAAGTGAATCAGGTCAGGCCAGGCTGGTGCCAGCTGCACCGAAAAGGAAGTTTAGAAATAATTACAGCCGTACAAACCCACCAGAGCCACAGCYTCTTGAATCAACATTTTCATCAGAGGCTTCAGGCAGCACGTGCCTCCCAGCCCAATTAACCTCTCCAGCTCTGTTCCAGGGCGAGTGTTTGTGCTGCAGCCACAGCAGCTCCTGGGTGTGCACGGGTTCACAGGGTGCCTGTGCTGGTCCCTGCTCCTGGAGCTCCCAGCAGCTGTGCCAGATGTGCCAGCACAGCTGCCAGCATGAGCTGGGCACAGCAATGTGCTCCCTGTGCTCTGGGAACAGCACAGGGATCCTGCACTGACTGTCCCAAGCTGGGACAGGGACAGCCCACTGGCCAGCCTTCCAAAAAACAGCATTAATTTCACTCTGAAATACATATTCTAAACCTGTCACCTTCATTTAAAATGATAATTCCATATAATTCCATGGGAATAATAAAAATGTCTCATCAACTCTTTCAATTATCTCTGTTGCCTGTTGAGATGTCCACAGGCACAGGCTGATGTTGCACACATTGTCCCAGCGTGTCCCTGTGTGTTGGGGACAGCCCTGGCACGGCTCAGGCCACCCGTGCTGCAGCCAGGAACGGGGATGCCACATTTGTGGGTCCCTGCAGCAAGGATTTCCTGGCCATAACACAGAGGGGACATCCCTAGTGAGCTGATCCCTCATTTGTCACACTTCTCCTCYGCTCTGCAGCCAGCATGTTCAACAACGTCCTGATTTTAATCCRCTCAAGCTCTCCTTCCCTTCTCATCAATGATTTCTTCAATCTCATCATTGATTTCATTCAAATAAAATGATTCTCTTTTAGCTTTTGGACCCTTTCTGAGTCCATGTTTACTGTGCTCTGTTCCAGCTGCTTTTCCTCAGCTGAATTGTTGCCTTTGTTATGGAGCTCATCTCCCTCACAGTATCCCAGCACAGTCCCACTCTGCTCCCAAAYGCAGATGCATGGCCAAAACCTGCAGCAAGATAACTTGATACAATCGCTGTGATTTCTGCATAATGCACTTCCACCAACAGGGCAAAGTGAGAGGACTTTGTCCACAGTGACACAACACATCCAGACTCAAATTAACATTCCAAATCCCCAACCCTTCTCTATACCCCTGACACAGAAGCGAGTGGCCTCCAGGTTTAACAGCAGGAGCTGCACTGAGGCTGCAGGAGCCAGCAAAGGGCCTGGAGCACAACAGGAAGGAGCTCAGACCATGAGGACAATGACAAAGCCACTCAGGTGTTTGGCACGCAAGCCAGCGTGTCTCTACTGGCACAGGGGTGGCACAGTGTTCATCTTGATCCTAAACACCACTCCCAYGTCCAGAGCATCCCATCCTCGAGCCCGAGGACACCCACAGACAAAGGCATGACACAGTGTGTGTGCAGACACAACATTTATCCTGCCCTGAGTGAGACACATCACTCATTTGAATGGCAAAGCCACGAGCTGATTAACTAATTCTAACAAGAATTAAGCTGTGTGTTAATTCAGAGCTTTCCTTATGAACTATATGAAGCAGATCAGCACAACTAATAGTGTCTGGTGTCCCTGGGGGCAGGGGACTGCAAAACTGATGAACTCTCTGTCACCAGTGAGACACATGGMTCGGCACAGCAGCCCCTTGGCTGCAGGTCGAACACTCCCAACGTGTCTGGGAAGGAGCCAGAGCATCTCCCAGGCCCTCAGCACACAGGAACATTCTGCTGTAGGCCGGCAATAAAGCTGCTCCTAGCAGCACCTGCCTTTATAAATTACTCTCCATTTGAATACACTAGTAATATATGTATTTTTTGACATATAAGCTCACACTCGGTGGCCATTGTTTCCCTCTTTTATCCCTCACTCTATCACCCTGTGAGTTTATTACTGTTTAGCTCACTGACCTTTCAATGCATCGAGGAATTAAGGTGCAGCACGGACGGGAAAGAACACAACAATACATCACTCCCAGCGGAGCCACCGGCGCCAACAGCGCGGAGGGGACAGACCTGGGGCA